GGCAGAATGAGCAAGATTATCTGGCTGACACCAGACAGGACCCTTCTCTAGAGTGGAGGTGGAATCAACTCAATGCAAATCAGAAACCAGTTCAAACCTAGTTCCACATTAAGCTCAGGAAGGACCGAGAGGGACCAAGGATGCTCCATTTCAAATAGAACCATGTGTCCAAGGTGAACTGGAATAGAAAGTGCAACTCCAACTGAGAAGCGCAGCAAATCCTTGAAATCTCATGCCTCGTGTTCTCTAAAGCAGAACTCAGTCCTGGCTGCATACTGAAGTCACCCGAGGAGCTTGACAATGGAGGGCATGTCCTCCAAAGATCAGATTAACTGGTCTGGACCTGGCCCAGCTGATTCCAACACACAGCCAAAACTGGGAACTGCAGCTGTACAGAGATGCAGAGAAATGTATCTGTAGTTTGCCATGCGAACCTATTTCTTTTTCTCTCTCCATTCAACAAAACTGCTAATATTCTGCAAAGCAGCTGCCAATGGGCACACTCGAAGATGGGACTTGTGTCTAAAAAACAATGTTATGTGTATAAACTCCTGCCATAAGGTCCTCTTGATTCACTGGGATCTAACCTGAGAATGCTTGCTGTCTGGACAGTCACCGCCACTGGAGCAGCCCTGAGGCTCCTGGTGAAGCCACTAGGAGAAAAGCTCAAACCTTGTTCTGGGTGCTCCTCTGATTCCTCTGTCTCTTTTACCCAAGACCTGGCTCCCAGAAAATGAGATCACCTGTTACATAGACAGCAGAGCTTCTCCTCAGAAGACACAGAACATCCTCCTGGTGGAAGAGGTGACCTCTGGCACAGACTTTACTGGCTTGGTTATTCAGGGAAACTGCTCATCCTGACCAAATACACGACCCTTGCAGCTCCCCTCAACTTCATCCCCACATGGAGCCACTGGATGCAGCCCACCAGAAGTCCCAGTGAGCCTCAGAACCACAAACCCAGTCCCCTACACCCACTCAGCTATTTCCAGGCCTGAAATGCATCCACTGATAATCACCAGTCTGAATCTCAAAGCTTTTGAATCCGCAGCAAGTCCACAGGCCTCCACGAGGAGATTCTGTGACAGCTGCCTACAATCAGAACTGTTTTGAAGACTTCCTGACCCAGGATGCATGTGTGGCTGACCAGGGCAAATGGGGGTTTGTTTTAACATGAGGAGAGAGATTCTTGTACACTAGCAGCTGCCTGGGACAACAAAGCATGTCCAGAGAGTTGGGAACTCCTTTGAGACATAAAGGTCTGTCTGCCTGGCCTCCTCCCCAAAACTCCCCTTCTCACCCCAAGAAAAAGTTTTATTGAATAGAGGCCAGATTTTGTCAATGTCTTTTCTGCATCCACTGAGATGATCCTTTTGTCCTTTTTAAATATGATACGTTACATTGATTTTTCATGTTAAACCAACCTTGCATTCCTGAGAAATTTGCTTGGTCATGGTATATAATCCCTTTTTTGTGTTGCTGGACTTGGTTAGGTGACATTTTGTTGGCTTTTCATTCATATTCATAAGGGATATGTTGGTCAGGAGTTTTCTTATGTCTACTTGGTTATCAGCCACCCCACACACAAGACCCTTGACCACACATACTCCTATAGTGCAACCCAGCCCATCCTGGGGAACTGGAATTTGTGCTGGATAGGCTGCCAGTTGCTGGGACTGCAGTGAGGCCCCTCACAACCGCCATCCTTCACCATGGAAACCCTACCAGATGTTTCTTCACCACCCACATTCTTGGAATAAATTCACCATGGCTGGGGATCACTAGATCTAAGGGTTTCAACTGCCCTGAAGGGCCAGGCAGGTGGAAGGCATTAGTGGGGTGATCTGAGTATAAGCTATGCCTGGAGAGGAGTCCTTCTGAGGGTCTCAGGGCCAGCTCATTGCTGCTGTGGAAGCCTCGGGTTCTGGATACCCAGGTTTCCAAAAGAACAGGAAGCTTTCTTTATATAGACTCTCCATTGTTGACTGCTGAAAACTTTTTGCTTTTGCTTTACTATGACTGACCCCAAAAGTGCACTATCACTGAGCTACATCCCTCCCCGCCTTTTTAGTTTGAGACAACATTGAATTACCCAGGCTGGCTCAAACTTGCAGTGCTCTCACTTCAGCCTCCTGAACAGCTGGGATTACAGGTGTGCACCACCATGTCCATCCTGGAAACTGATTTTACTTTTTATTTTTTTGAGACAGGGTCTTGCTTGGTAGTACATACATGGTGGCCTTGAACTTGCTCTCTGGCCTGGAACTTGCTATGCAGCTCAGACTGGCCCCAAACTTGAAATCCTCTTGCCTCAGCCTACAGAGTGCTGGGTGCTGGCAACTGATTTTAATTTTCTGAATAGTTAGCACCAAAATATCAAAAATTTTTTAAAAGGGCCTGGGATTTAGCTCAGTGGTTCCGCCGCCTGCCTCCTAAGTGCAAGGTCCCGAGTTCGATCCCCAGTCCCAAAAAATAAAAAATAAGAGTGAAAAGGACATCTCTCATCCTAAACAGATACCCACTGTTATCAAGTTTTTATCCTGAGAATGTTCAGGCTTTTCATTTTCATTTAGATGGCAGTGTACTATGTACATTTTTCTGCCTTTGGTCTTCATATCTTGACAACCACAACTCATAAGGAACTCCTAATCCCCCCTTACAATTTCATAGTATTCTCTCATGAATGTGTCATAACAGAACCAACCCCACATTGGGGAACACTCAGGTTCCATCTCATCTTGCTATTTCAACGCACAATGACTAACCCTGTGGACTTGCTGCTGCTTCTCCTGTGTAAGCTGGGTCCTAGAGGTGGGGTTACTGGGTCTGAAGGCATAGATACATTTCTCATTTTCACAGATTCTGCTGATTGGCCATGAGAATGCGTGCTTGTCCAATTTTCCCCAACAGTGTCACCAAAGATTTTAATCTTTGCAGACTGATTTGTGAAGAATCTAATTTCCAGAAATTCTTTTTCTGGCATAGCTGAGAATCGGGGGCAAACCCAGGGCCTTACACTTGCTAGGCAAGTGCTCTACCACTGAAGTGCATTCTCATGCCCCTGGGAGTAATTCCAGTTTCTTTCATACTTATATACTGAGGCTGAGTAGCTTTTCATGTTTAAATACCTTCTGCATTTTCTGTGAAATGCCTGTTCATATCCTTTGCCTTTTTTTTCCCTATTTTTTCTTTTATCCATAGGTGCTGTTACCTATTAGGGAGGCTATTACCTTATGAGTTTAAAATACAAGTTCCCCAGTTTATCATTTGCCTTGAATTTGCTTAGGATTTTATTGTTTTGTTTTAGGATTTGGGGGTTGAGCTTTCTGTTTTGCTATGCAAAGATTATATATATATATATATATATATATATATAAATTTTATAGATATCAAATTTATCTCTGTGGCTTTTACATTACATGGCTGATGTTTCTGCCTACTTCTTCAGTGACTGCATTTATATATTTAACTCCTTGATCCATTTGGAATTCTGGATCTGTGCAAGGTGTGCAGTGAGATGTGCAGCTCCCTTTATCACAGTAGTGGCAAACCTATGGCCCATGTGCCACAGTCGGCATGCAGAGCCTTTTCTGTTGGCATGAGTCAAGTTGCCCCAGCATTACCCCAGTAGCCAAACATCAGACAGCAGTGCACATGCGGGCCATATGGTGCTTGGAAAGGAGTCCTGGTCCCAGGTGATAACGTCACAAGCCACACCTAATTAGCTATGACTTGTCCAAGCTTTCACATGGCTGGTCAGTGCATTGCCAAGGGTATAGATAAGCTGAGATTTAATACCTAAGACTTAGCGTAGAGATGTTCTAATTAAGAGACAGGTTCTTTTAATATGCTGTCCGCCTGGCATATCTGAATCTGTAGCATCATATTTAGTTGTGAAGAATTTATGAAAATGAGCAAGGATATATATATTCGCTTGGACTGGCTGTGAGTTTAGCAGAAGCCCCCCAAGGTTGGAAACACACTCAGATGCCTTCTTCAGAGCAGGCCGAAAGCTGGTGGTTAGTGGATCACTGCCCCCTTGCACTGGTGGTCAGCAAATTCAAGAGGAAGCCCAGCTGAGAACCAATAATCTACAGATTATTGGTTTAAGCAATATCTAATTCTTTAGTGCTAACTAATAGTGTTAGCCCTTTTGGGTATAGGAATAGATTTATATTAGGTGCTTCATTTTTTAAAACTTTGTATTTTTATAGACTCCAAGTCTTGAACACCAAAAAATGCAAAACTGAAAACAGATAGTGGAAGATCATTCCAAGAGGCCTGGACAAAGTCATTTGGAGTGACAACGCAATGGGAGAGCGTTATGCATTCCGTGTAGTGAAAGTGTTGTGTGTTGCACATCAAGTGTCAGACAGCACTTTGACACCAACCACAAAAGTATTGCCGAACATATCATTCCCAGTATCCTACTTTTTGCAACTATCTTTCTAAAACAAATCATCTGACAGCTGCCAGCTTTCAAATTTCACTGTGCATAACAAAACATGGTAAGCCCCTCTCTGATGGGGATTTTATCAGAATGGCCATGTTGTCTGGGAGTAAGTCCCTTTTCCATGATTTCCCAAACAAGGATAAAATTATGCAATGCATCTCGGAGATGCCACTTAGCAGAAATACTATTAAAGATCGAGTTCTGTGCATGGCAAGTGATATTAGTCAGCAGCTCACCACTCACTTATAAAAGGCAGCCTATTACTCCATGTGCTTGTATGAGAGCACAGACATAAATAATCATGCAAGGCTAGCAGTGATTTTACACTATGCTGTTGGTGACATCATGAGAGAAGAGCTGACGAAATTGGTGTCTTTGCCTGGAAGAACACAAGGGATAGATATCTACAATGCTGTGATGGAGGCTTTTTTGTCACAAGACATAAGAGCAGACAAAGTGGTTTCAATTACTAGTGATGGGGCACCTCGAATAGTGAGGGCAACATCTGGTTTCATTCAGTTCTTTGTTAGAGAAGCAAAACATCCAATCATTCAGTTTCATTGTATTATACATCAAGAAGCAATTTGTACCAGGCAAAGCAGCAAAAAATTACATGATAGCCTCAAAGATGTCACAAAAATGGTGAATTGCATCATGGCTTACGCTCTATAATTTTCGACAGTTTCAAGCACTTCTTGTTCAGTTCAGTTCAGGCACAGTATAATGCTTTACTTATGTACAATAATGTCCGATGGCTGAGCAGAGGATGACTCCTGGAGAGGTTTGTAGCCTGCTTGGATGAAATTAGGCTGTTTGTAAATGAAAAAGGGCAGGAATGGCCACAGCTCACTGACATGGCCTGCCTTAACAACCTCATGTTTTTTACAGATTTTACCCTACACTTCAGTGTACTGAACAAAAAACTAGGTGTAGAGAAAACAGCAGAAAGGATGTTTTGTGATATCAAAACATTTGAGAGAAAACTGCAGGTTTTTGAAAGAGACCTTGAAAGTGGGCAGCTGAAATATTTTCCAAACCTAAAAATGCATTTAGAAAATTCTACAACATTTGGTGACAATCCTACAAGCTACAAAGAAATCTACAAGGAATTTCCTAGCATTGTAGCAGCTGCAAAGGAGAATGTTAGTAACAGATTTTTGCAGTTCCATAAGATGGAGACAACCCTGTGTTTTCTTCTCCAGATAAAGCCAAATTTGAAGAACTTGATCTTGCCTGCTTACACTGGTTAGATTTTGGAGCTCTGGAAATGGAGCTACTGGAATTTCAAGAAAGCTCTAGCTGGAAAAATAAATTCTGTGACCTGCATGCAACACTTAAGATAGAGAAGACCAAGTGTGACGGGAGTGCAAAGGCCATTACAGTGGGCAGTTCTGAAAATGAAGTTCTTAAAGAGTGGAATTCTCTGCCGAATAATTTTAGGTCAATGAAAGCACTTGGGATTGCTTTTCTTACTTTGCTTGCCTCATCTTATGCTTGTGAGCAGCTGTTTTCAGCTTTGAATGATATCAAATCTGATACAAGAAACAGACTGACAGATGACCTGAGTGCTGCATTTGTTGCTCTCAATCTAATGAAGTGTGAGCCAAGGTCTGACAAATTATCAGCACGCATACAACAGCAAAGATCACATTAGTTGTGCATAAAGCACGCCAAATGCAAACTTCTACTTTTCAATAAAAAGCTGTTAGTATCATTGAAAGCTCTATCATTGTTGTTTTTCTTTTAAGACAAAAGATGTTAATGTATGAGTTGTTTTTTCTAAACTGAAAACCTCAGTACTCAGGTTTAATTGCAGTGTTGGCATTTTGCAATAATTAAGTGGGTTTTGGGTTGCAGTTGGGGCACCAGTCTCTAAAAGGTTCGTCATCACTGCTTTATCTGTTCCAAACAGTTAGAGATTCATCCATGTGTAAAAACATTTTAAAACTGTTCAGGGCAAACCTCACATTTCTGCCGACCAGATACTGTCCACTGGGCTGCTGTCCTGAAATTTCTGGCTTTAATGGACATGAAGTCCACATCCCGGGATAGTGGTGAAGGTGGCTGAGCCCAGAGCTTTGCTCTTGTGGAAACAGCCACAAAAGAAAGCCACCCGCTCCTGGGCTGCAGTCACCATTGCCCCAGGGTGGGTGGCTGCCAAAGCAGGTGGTTAGGGACGCCACTCACTTGACAGTATCGAGTCAGGCACCTGCCTGAAAGCACAGGAGGTCAACTGAGAAACAGCACACAGTCCCCTTCCCTAGCAAGCCCAGCGACCACAACCCAGACGCCCATTACCAAGTGTCTCTGGATAGACTTTGGGCCAAGCATGCACACAGCTCGTCTCATGTCACAACAGCCCATCACTCGGATCCTACAAAAGAAGAGGCTGGGCTCAGAGAGGCTAAGCAGCAAAGTCAGGTCACAGAGCTGAGCTATCCAGGAGATGAAGCTGCCACCGGAGCAGGCTACAGAGCCACAGCCCTGCAGGTCTCTGCTGTAGGACACTTTCACTGCTGCGGCTTAAGCACATGACATCACCCTCCACCTCTCCTTGGTCCTTGGTTCAGGCCCTGGAAGGGGCAAGAAGCCTCGAGTCTCCTGTAATCACAGATATGGGGCCTTCTGAAAACTGGTGTCCTTGACTGCTTGTGTAAAAATTAACTTTCCACTCAATCTATGCTCCCTGTGAGCAGACAGAGCATGATGAGTGGGGAGGCTTCCTCATTAAAGGCGGGCCCAATCAATACAATACCACTGTGAGAATTAACAACCGGCAACTACACAGCAACAGGGACACGGCCCGCAGGTACATCCAGCCCACGAAGCCGGGCACAAAGGGAGCCGCACCTCGCGCACACTCCCGCACCCTCCACCCGGGGTTTGAGGACCGCAAAGCCAGCCTCTCCTGTCGGCTGTTTGGGTTCAGGTGGGTATGGGCAGGAAGGGGACTCCAGAGAGACTCCTGGGTGCTGATAATGTGGCTGGGTTACACAGATGTGTTCTGTTTGTGAAAACTGAGTGAGGTGCCCCTTTCGTAGTACTAGAGATTGAACCCACAGCTTTCACACTAAGCTACATCCCAGCTGTGTTTTTAAATCTTGAGTCCACAGATTCAGAATTCTAAATGGATTAAGGAGTTAAATGTACACTAAGTTGCCGAGGCTGGCCTCAAACTTGGAATCTTGGCATTCTCCTGCTTTAGCCTCTTAAGTAGTACCTTTATTGCTTTTTTGTTTTGTTGCAACACTGGGGATTGAATCCAGCATCTCCTACATGCTGATCAAATACTTTTCCACTGAGCTACTTCTTCGGCCCCATCTGCATCTTTTAATTCCAAAAATGTTCCCAAAATTGGCATGACCCAACTTACTCGTTGTTTTTCTACCTTTTTTTTTTTTTTCAGTACTGGGGATGGAACTCAGGACCTTGCACTTGTGAGGAAGGCACGGCACCACTGAGCTACATCCCCGGCCCCTTTCTACCTTTATCTTGACAGATTCATTAGTTTAGCCTTCCTTGAAATTCTAATCCTCTAGTTTAGCTGCGTGTGGGGGTGTGTGCATGCATGTGTGTGCATTGAGAAGGGATCCCTCACTGCCAGCCCAGCAGCCCCAGAGCCTCAGCCCTTAGAACAGCAGGCTGATGGGCCAGATGCCACCAGGAGATGCTGTGCCCTCAGACCTCCAACCACAGCTACATGAGGGTCCCTATGGCTGCTCAGGACTCCATGGGGAGGAAATGCAAAAGCAAATCACTGACAAAGGGGAAGTGACTCTGTGTACACAGTTTCAGTCCCAACATCCCAATAGGAGCATGACAAAGCTCACAGAGGCTGATGCAGTTAAGGGTTGTGACACTGAGACTCTTGAGTGTCTTCGGGAAAATGGTCCTCGGTCCGGTACAGTGTGGGCAGCTCGAAAGCTACTGCTGCTGCTGCTGGTTTCTGAAATGACAAAAAGGAGGTGCTGTGTCAGGAACTGGGATCCATTTGTTCTATGACCCAGGAATCCCAGAGCAGGGACACCATGTGACCAGGTCTGCCTCACTGGCAGACCCACTGTTGACCAAAGATGAAGGAGATGGGCCAACAGAACCAATGCTGCCTCATGCCAAGGCTGGTGGCAGAGAGAAACAAAGGCCTGGGGAACTGGGAGGAGCTGACAACACATCCTGTATGGAGAGGGGTTTCCAGAGGCTGAAGCATCTGGGATGTCAACTACCATGCAGGACTTGACTAGCAACAGAGAAATGGGGTACAGAACAGGCTGGGGGAACAGCGTGTGCAAAGTGGGGTATGTGGTGGGGGCTGGAGAACGGAGCAGCTCTGGCTGGCCTGGCGGGTGTGAGTGTAGGCAAGGAAGAGGCCAGAACAGGCCAGCTGAGAGGGCTCCCAGCAGCCATGCTAAGAACTTATCCCAGGAACACCAGGCAGCCTTGGAGGCTTTGAAGCTAGATGGTGTGCGTACCTGTGTTCACTGAGGTGTGTGTCTCAGGAACAGCGGAACAGAGAACAGGTTTGAGGAGAAAGAGTGGAGCCTCAGAGGTGGCTGCAGCAGGCATCCCCTGTGGTGGGCCAGGTTCTGCCTCTGCGTTCCAGAGGCCTTGACTTCCCACCACACTGAGCCCCTCTCTGTCAAGGAAGGGAGCAACTCAGGCATTTTCAATGAGGGGAACATGCCCAGTGGCTGGGGACCTCATCCAACTGCATCGACCCCTCCACTTTAGAAAACCAAGATGAGCAATTCACCTTGTCCGAGGGTCAGCCTCACACGAGGGAGTCAGAACCTTCCATCTGGTCCACCCTCGCTCAGCCGCTCTTGGCTCAGCCTGCCTGGGCAGGGCCCACCCACCAGCCTCTCTTGTCCCAGCACCGTTTCCATTGTATCCGGCCTTACAGACCAGCATAGGTCTGCTGCTGGCACCCAGTCAGCATAATCAGGAAGGAAGGCACCAAGTGAAGCAGCTGCGGAGACCCAGCAGTTTTAGACATCTTCACTCTTTCTCCTGAGAACTGGCCCTTGGGTTCCCCAGGAAACACAACCTATGGGTGAATAACGACAGGCCCAGACCAGCCCTCTCATCCTGATTCATGACTTGAAGCCAAAGAGCATTCTTCGATCCTGAAAAGACATAGTCCTTCTTCTCCTAGCCCCGAGGACACAGGCATGGCCAAGGGCCCTCAGTGGCCCCATTGGTCAGTGACCAGGCCAGAGTCAGTTTCCTGGCTTGGCCAGATGTCCTCTCCAGGGATCTCTGCAGGGAACCCCATTCCTTTCGGAATGCTTCTGCCAACAGGGAGAAAAAGAGGAAAATCAATATAATTAGGAAGGAACCAAGGAGAAGGAACAGTGAGAGACCTCCGTTTCAGATGCAGTCCTATCTTTAGGCCCAGTGAGATCTAGTACCAGAAGCTCACGACTGCAGCATCTCTCCTGGTGATGGAGGGAAAACATCATTCCTGCTTTTGCAAAGCCAGAGCAAGGGGGATGCAGGATAGGTAAGCTTTCTGTCAGCGCCCAGCCAAACATCTGGATGGATATCAGCCCGCTGCTTTATGTGGCCCCTAGGAACCCACAAGGGCTCCCAAGGAACAAGTTACCTCAAACCAGCTACATTTCCTTTTTCAGAAGGGTCACCAGTGTAGAAGATGGCAAGAAAGGCTGTGGAGGTTGGTGTAGCCCTCAAAACATCCTGGAGGTCGCACTGGAGAAATGTGGGTAGGTGACTCAGCTCCATGGAGAGCTGACCTGATGTCTATCAGGTGGGGTGGCAGGGGTATGTCTGAGGGCTCAGGTATGACTTCTTGAAGCCCAAAACACTGTCTTTGAAAGGAGGTGGGCAGGGTGAGTGCTGTTCTGACCTGTCCACTTCCCCTTCAGGTATCAGGATCCTGACTTTTCTTTTTTTTTTTCTTTTTGGTACCAGGGATCGAACTCTGGTCCTTGCGCTTACTTTCGAGGCAGGCGGCAGAACCACTGAGCTAAATCCCCGGCCCAGGATCCTGACTTTTCTAAGGGACCCTTTTGTACCTGGCTCCCCAACCCAGCCCTAGGAGGTGGACCCAAGGAGGTGTGACTCCACCAGGAAGCCCTTTCCATCTTCCACAGCCATTGGTCCCGGCCAGAGCATGTGACCCAAATAGGGCCACTGAGAAATAGCCTTGGGACTTTTGCTGCTGTGCCAGGGTTGCTCTCCTTCCTGAGGTACCTGAATGTGCTGAAGGCCTCTTGTGCCATCGTGGAGGGTGGAGGGGTCCTGCCTGAGATCAAAAGCAGATGGCACAGGGGGCACAGTAGGGAGATAGGGTGAGGCAGAGCCCTGACAATATCATTTGTTTTGAGCACCTGAATCTGATTCTGCCAGAGGCTAGAATAACCCTGAGACTTTTTCTGCACAGGAGCCAGGAAATTCTCCTCTTTGCTTAAGCTGACCTAGGTTGCTGTCACTTGCAACTAAGAATCCTGCCTAAAACAAATAATAAATCCATAATAGTGCCAGCAAGTCCTTAGAAATTGGGTGCTTCAACCAACAGGTGCAGGCAGGTGTATGAGGCTGCAAACTCAGGTGCTGTGTGATGCCAGGGCAGGTGAGCAGGGCCACGCCCCAGGACGCCAGGTCCCAATCACCTGCACACTAGGAAGCCAGTGAAACCCACTTTCATGCCACTTTCTCTTAGATTCTCATGGCAACCAGCAAGGCAAGGAGTCACTCCATGTCTGAGGTCATCCAGGCTCAACCCCTGCCTCTCTTCCCACAGGCTCCTTGGAGACAGAGCAGCAAGCTCAGACCCTGACAGTGTTGCCTGGACTTCGAGAATCTCAGAGGGGCTTTGGAGCCCTCCAGCGGGTAAGGAGAGTGTCCTGGGGTCGCCCAGGTAAGCAAGGAGTAACCAAGGCTTTGGCTCTGCCTCCCCACCCCCACCTCCCAGGCCACAGGCAGGAATGCTCGCTCCACTCTTCTAGATGAGAGAGGTCAAGACAGGAAACCTGACACCAACAGGACGGGGCGGGTCCAAGTCCTCCTCCTCAGCCTAAGGGAGCTGCTAGAGGAGCCGCCAGGCCCCGTGCACTCTCTCCGGGGTTACCCCACGCTCTTCATCCCTCTTCGGCCCTGGACACTGGAGTTGCCAGCCTTTCAGCTCACAGACTAGACAGGTGTGCTGGTCTGCTTCATGATTCTGTAAGAATGGAATTGTAAACCCATAAAAAAGAATCAGGTGTCTCATGAAGACCAGACTGCTAATTTCTCTTGGGAAATCAGATTATCTGGATTCCCGATGAGCCCTAATTGAAGGATAGTATACAAGATTCCTAACCAATATTCCTCAAAATGGTCAAGGTCACTGATGAAAGTCAGAGATGGTGTCACAGACCAGAGGAGGCTAAAGGCATGTTTGCTTCTTATATCAATTAAATTCCCCTTGTGCCTAAGTGGAATACAGTATCTGGGAGCAATCCTGGGACAGACAGAGGTACTGAGGAAGGACCGGTGAAATCGAATACACTGTGGTGTTCAATTCAGAACAGCGCATCAGCCTTGGTGCCTTCGCTGTCACAGTGCACCACAGCAGGCACGGGAGAGACTGGTGACACAGGTACGGGGCCACTCTGTACTAGCACAGCAACTTTCTCTAATTCTAGAAATTTTAAATTTTGTTTAAAAATTTTTTGTTGTTGTTTAAAAAGCAATAGATCAGTTCAACTCCACAAACAACCCAGCCTCTCAATTCAACCACAGTGAGGGGTACTGACCACTTCAGGGGTACCCAGCCCATGATGGGCCACCCTGCAAGGTCATGGGGCATGGTGCACCCTCACAGCTGCTGGACAGGCAGGTATCCTTAATCCCATCTGCAACAGAGGGAACCGAAGCTCAGAGGGTCACTTGCCCACAATGTTCCAGCTAGGAACTGGCAGAGCTGGGATTTGAACCCAGGCCTGCATGGCTGGAGCATCTGTGCAGTCCCAGCCCAGACCTTGGAGCTGAGGGGGGCTCAGGTAAACTCTTGATGGGACCCAGGATGTCCCTGCATCTCTGCTTCCAAACTACAGGACCCTCAGGCATTGCCCCTTCCAGCCACACCCAGCTCACTGGTGGCCCCTGCTCAGCAGCTGGCCACAGACACAGAAAGTGAGTTCATCACCAACACTGGAGGAGGCCTGGCTCTCTTCAACAGCTGAGCTATTTGCACAGGCACATTCCCCTGGGGTACAAGGAGCTTGTGCCATCTGGTGTGCCCCAGTAACTCATCTGCAGGCCCAGCAGAGCGTCGGGCATTGGGGCTGGCTGCAGGCTCCATAAGGCTGCCCAGGACGCTGGGTGGAGAATCTTTGCTTCACATGCCCGGCTCCCTGCCATGGCAAGTTTGGCCTGTACCCCATCTGCCCCAGTGCTCACAAGAGCCCACGAGCCAGGGGCTGTGGCCACTTCCTTTTCACAGCTGAGAAAGCAGTTCGAGAGAGGCTGGACAGGCCGGTGCCAGGGCCTCTCAGCTGGTAAACGGCTGGGCTGGGACTCAGAGCAGGCTCTTCGGAGCTCTTGGCACGGGCTCCTGCCATTGCCAGCCCACAGTCCCTCCCCTTGGGCCTGGCCTCCCTCCTCAGTACTGGCTCAGGGATTTGTGCACCTCAGGCCATTGCCTGCAGAGTCTGTGTCTGCTCTAGGGCCCTGCGTCTTCCAGAGCGCTGACAGTTGTGAGCAGAACTCCTCCCCTTTGCCCGGAAGCAGCCACTGTGGGTCCAATCTTGCCCTCGGGGGCTGACCAGCTTCACAGAGCCAACCCCCTTCCCACCCAGGATCCTCCCACCCAGCCTTTGCTGGCTCAGTGGCCAAAGTAACTGGGGGAAGTGGGAGGTCACCAAGGGCCTAGTGCCAGTAGCACAGGGCTGGGGCTCCTGGAGCAGGTGACCAGTGCCCCGGGTGACCCCAGCAGCATGGACAGGC